AGAGAGAGAGAGAGAGAGAGAGAGAGAGAGAGAGAGTGAGGGTGTGTATGTTAGAGAAGGAGCGATGTTCCGGAGGGTGTGGGTTCCGGTCCACGGGCGACTCATAAACAGGCCGACTCGCTCACTCACTTATTTCAGTCTTCGTTAGTCATAGTGTTGTAACAGTTTGCATCGAGACAGACTTGTTAAGTACTCCATGCTTTCTACCATCCACCACGAGTCTGCACAAAGGCCCGTGAAGGAATACGACACTTAGACGATCACGAATAAGACAGTGTCACACTGTCATCAAAATTATTGTTTTGCTGTTAGTTTGTTTGTTTCTTTCTACAGTACAGATAGATGCACCCACCATGGCAAACAAGAAAATAGAAAGAAACTTACAACTAACTCCTGGAAAAGGCAAAAAAATAAAAACAAAAAGCACCCCAAAACAACCAACTCCAAACAAATCAGGAGAAGAAAAGCAATTCTACATGAATGCAGAATAAAAATAACGAAGTCAGCCTTGATTGTAATTGATTAATGCCCCATACAGTCTTGGTCATCTGCTTCAATCCACAACGTCAAATCACTCAAGAAAACGTCATATTATTTTTCTCTTTCGTGCCTGTCCAAGCTTCATAATACTACGTCCGACCGCAGACAGCTCCAACAGCGTCACACATTCCGAGCGGCAGATCTATTCGTGGACGCTCAACGTTGTTAAACCCTGGGAAAAGTAGAAGAGAAGAACATTATCAGGATGAGAAAAGAAGGTCTTTTATTTCTTATAAGAAAGGGAGGGGAAAAAAGCAACAACAGAAGCGAAAATCCTGAAGGGACAGAAGAAACGGGGGGAGGTCGCATGAGACAGAAAGAAAAATAACCGTCTCAATAAATTATTCGGAAAAATCAATACGGGAGCCCTCGACATTTTCGGAGAGGAAAAGCCACAGCCAGGCGACCTTGACCCTCGCAGCTGTTCGCAGCGAGTCGCAGCACCGTCTTGTCGTCACTGGGCGCCAATGGAGGCCTATCTCGTCTGTGTGAGCTGGGGTGAGGACATTTTGGTCGCGCGCGCTTTTTACGAGCTATCTGTTGCTTCTTCTTCTGTTGCTGTCATCCCAATATCCTGCACAATGTTTTTGTCCCCACAATGCGTGTGTGTGTCTTGCTTTGGTTGTATGTGTGAGCGTATGTATGTGCGTATGTGTGCGTGTGTGTGCGTGTGTGAGCGTGTGTGTGTACGTGTGTGCGCGCGTGTGAGTGTGCGAGTACATGTGCGCGTATAAGAGAGTGAGAGAAGGGGGGGGGAGAGAGAGAGAGAGAGAGAGTG